TGCGCCACATTTCTAAAATCCGGCGGCACCCCTCACGCAAATCGGCGGGGTCTTGGTCCAAAAACACAGAAAGGATTGCCAAATTTCTGAAATTCGGTGGCACCCCTCACGCAGATCGGCGGGGTCAGGATACAAAAACACAAAGGATTTGCCACATGTTTGAACTTCAGTGGCGCCCCATCACGCCAATCGGCGGGGTCAGGGTCCAAAAACACATGGGATTTGCCACATTCCTGACATCCGGTGGCACCCCTCACGCAAATCGGCGGGGTCAGGATCGGAAAACAAACAGGTCCCGACACTGCTTCACGGCGGCGCCCACATCTCATGATTTAGCTTTTGCATCTCCCATTATCCGAGACAGGGGGCCGGCGGCATGGGGGGAAACCCTTACTGATAATTTCGTGCAACCTATGCGCTTCATTCTAACTGGTGCAACCAATGCGGTGCAATCGAGGTGAAGCAATCCATGTGGCGCAATCTATGTGGTGTAAGTGACTACCCTGCACCGAGCTTGACCACCTCGCACGCTCTTGCGAAAATCCCACCCACAAACCCGCAACGTGGTTTGCAAAACCCATGCGGCGGCGATTGCGACGAGTGCTTGGCGCTGGCTGGTGCATCTCTGCGGCAGCGCCAGCACGCGCATGCACGTGCGCGCGCAGCGGCCAGCTAGCTTGGCGCCACCGACGCGGCTGCGGCGGCACTGACCTCTGGGCACATCCCAGCGGGCACTTCAGTGCGAGTCGGCGGTTTGGGCGGGCGCGGTATCATGGCAACGTCGACAACGGTAGACACGCTGATGGTAGTAGCGGCTGTGGTGACGATGTTGACAGCGACGACGGCACGGCCAGTGACGGCGCCGATGCTGATCACGCCGACGACGACGCCCTCGCGTCGGTGATGAAGGTTTTGGAAGGAGTTCCACATGCGCGCGCGGCTGACACGCGAGAGTGGCCCGCCTGGCACTATTTGACGCGGATCGTGCCCCCCCGGCGCGCGCGCAAGGGCGTTCAAATGATTTCGGCATACGGCGCGAGAGGCCCGTTTGGCAGAATTCCACGAACCTGTTGAAAAACCGATGGTGTTGTTCAGGAGTCGCCAGAGCGCGAACGCAAGCTTTTTTGAACATAGTTGTTGGAAAAACAGATGCGTTGTTTACATGGTTTCGGGGCACTCGATTGGGAAATCCGTGCGAGACCTAAAGATTCGAATGATTTCGGCATGCGCGCGCAACGACGCGCGCGCGTGCTCTTCGTCCCGTTTTTTGCAGGAAGGATTCTCGCGACAGCACGCGCGAAAGGGCGTCCGAACGATTTCGTCACGAGCGCGCAAAACCCGCTTGGCAGCATTTTCTGAGAAGGCTGAGAAAACCAAGGATTTTCTTCCGAATTCGCAAGAGCGCACGCGCAATGTTTTTTTGAACACCCGTGTTGCGAAACCATATGTTTTCAGATGTGGTCTGGACATTAGATTTTGAAATTTGTATGACGGATTTCGGCATGCACGCGCGACGACGCGCGCGTGTGCACTTCGCCACATGTTTTGCAAGGGATTATTGAAAACTTGTGATTTGTGATAAAGAGTGCGCGCGCGTATTTTTTTCAAGATGATGACGGGGGGGGGGTCGATACCGGCCTGCCTAGGATGGTACGGATTCATATTTCGGATGGGCGATGGGGCAGCATAACCATTTTTGATTTGCAATGCGAACAGGGGTGCGGATAATCCGGGGGGGGGTAGAATCTTCTCTTTTAAGAAAGAGAAGCAACGCGAAGCAATGCAAAACAACGCAAAGCAACGCAGCATTAATGAAACGCAATGCAAGCCAATGCCAAGCAACGCAACGCAATGCAAAGCAATGTAAAGCGAAGCAAAGCAATTCAACGCAACGCCATGCAGATCAATGCAGAGCAATGCAAAGCAGCGCAGAGCAATGCAAAACAATGCAAGGCAGTGCAACGCAATGCACATCAATGCAATGCAATGCAACGCAATGCACCGCAATGCAAAGCAAAGCAAGCCAATGGAAGGCAAAGCAATGCAAAACAGAACGAAGCGATACAAAGCAATGCAATGCAATGCCAAAGCAATGCAAATGCAGAGCAATTGCAAAGCAAATGCAAATGCAAAGCAATGGAACTCAACGCACAACAAAATAATATGCGGCCGACCGTCGCCGCCGTAGTGGGCCGCACCGGGGCCCACTACGGCGGCGACGGTCGGCCGCGACGGGCGGCGACAGGCGGCCACAAGCCGGCCGGACCGACACGAGAGCTTCGTTACCCTCGAACGCAAATGAGAACCGGCAGAGGCAAACGCTGCTTGGAGAGCATGGGAGCTGTGGCCACGACGCCTTGCACAAAACAGTGGATCCGCGTTCCCGAAGCCGTGATCCCTGCTGAAAAACCATGGAGCGGCAACCCCCCGCATGCAAGACGGCCGAGGCGGGCAGCCAAGCCCACCACCATCGTCCAAGATGCCTCCAAGAAGGCTCAAGATAGCTCAAGATGAGCTCAAGATGGGCCAAGGTCCCTCAAATCAGACCAAGAGGGCCACAAGAAGACCTCCATCAGGGCCGAAGAGGCCCAGAACTATAGGTGTTCCAGATCTGTGGGCATCCTCACTTGTTCGGGCCTCCCGCAGCTCCAGATGAACTAGAGGCCTCCAAGATGGCTTCAAGACGGCCCTCAAAATGGCAAACTGATCCACCAATACGGTCTCAAGACAGCGCAAGAAGGCCCCATAGGCAGCCCAGGACCTCCAGAGCAACCCAAGACGGCCTGACAAAATCCCCTCGGCGACCAAAGGCGGCCCAAAGACGTTCCCACGACGACCGCAGGAGACCCCCAGACGGCCAAGAGGGCCTCAAGATGGCCCAAGAAAGCCCCAAGAGGGCCCCAAGACGACACGAAGAAGGCCCCAGGGAGCCCCAAGACTGCCCCACAGGAGCCCAAATCAGAGCGGAGGAAGAGGAGGAAGAGGACGGCATCCTGCGCGCCCCCCTTCCCCCCCGAACAATCGCCGACCAAGGTGCTGGACTGGCACGGTGGCGGGACGTGCCGCAGGCGGCTGGATCCGCCGCCCCCTGTCGCTTCATCACAGGGGTGCCTGGCGTGCTAGACGATTTCGGTTTTGGTTTTGTTTTTTTTCCAAAGGAACTCCCCCTGGGGCTCCGGCGCGTCCCGCTGGGGTCCGCGGAGGATTGCCCAGAGGTGGCTGCAAAGTGTTTTTCCTGCTCCAGACAGCTGCAAGACGGCCCAAAATGGCCTCCAAGACGGCTAAGGTGGCCCCACGATGCCTCCAAGACGGCCCAAGATGCACCCAAGACGGCCTCAGATGGCCTCAAGATGGCCCAAGACGGCCCAAGAGGCCCCCAAGAGGCCTCCAAGACAGCCCAAGAGGCCTCCAAGAGGTCCTCCAGGAAGGCCCGAGGAGGCTAAAATAATTTATTTGCCTGAAGTTTTTGAAGGATGTTGGCATTCGCTTCTTCTCCGCTTTCCGACGACCCAAGACAGCCCAAGAGGCCCCCAAGATCGCCCCCACAGCGCCCAAGAGGCCTCCAAGATGGCCTCAGGACTGCCCAAGAGGGCACAAACACGACCCAAGAGGCCTCCAAGACGCCCAGGCTCGAAGCTGGCCCAAGCCGGCCCAAGAGGCCTCCAAGAGGGCCTCCAGGAAGGCCAGAAAAGGCACACAAACACTTACTTTCCCTAGGTTTTTGAAACATTTGCATTTTATCTGCGTTCCGACGGCCCGATACGGCCCAAGAGCCCCCAAAGATCGCCCAAAGATCGCCAAAAATGCCTCCAAGATGGCTCCAGAACGGCCCAAGAGGCCCCGAAGACGGCCCCAAGAGGCCCCCAAGACGGCCCAGGAGGCTTTTAAGACGCCCAAGGTGGCCTCCAAGACGGCCCTGGAGCATTCCAAGAGGGCCCCAAGTCGGCTCAGAGAGGCCCCCCAAACGGCTTCCGACGGCGACGGACGGGCCAGGGGCCCACCAAGACGGCCGAAGATCGCACTAAGATGGCCCAAGACGGCCCAAGAGGCCTCCAAGAGGGCCTCCAGCAAGGCCCGATAAGGCCAAAATCATTGATGTCCCATGAGTTCTTGAAGGATTGTGGCTTTTGCTTTGTTTCGGCCTTCCGACGGCCCGATACGGCCCAAGTGCCCCCAAAGATCGCCCAAGAGGCCCAAGACGGCCCCAAGAGGCCCCTAAGACGGCCCAAGAAGCCTCCGAGACGCCCAAGATGGCCTCCAAGACGGCCCAAGAGCCCTCCAAGACGTCCTCCAAGAAGGCCCAGACGGATCAAAATGGCCTCCAGGAGGCCAAGATGACCTTCAAGATGCCCATGTGTTGCCCGAAGGCTTTCCAAACCGATTCGGGGAACACATGGTCCGATAGCTTGGCAGGTCTGGCCTCAACGTTCGGCCACATAGGCGCTTCCAAAAAGGCAGGGGGCGGCGGTGATTCGCCGTAGGCGTCTTCAATAAGAACACTTCGTGCAAGTATCATGAGTGGAACGTGCATTCCTTCGGTAGCAAACCATGGGAGCCTGGTATACCTTTTCAAATTCCTTCTTCAGCGTCGACCAGGGTCGATTAGCGTCTAGGAGTTGTGGGAGGCCCCCACGAGTTGTCACCGAACATTCCCGACACTTGCCCACGCCTCCATCAAAGAACAATATGGAGACACGCTTCATTAACAGAGCTACTTCCCAGATCGTGCTCATCGAACGGTGCCTCACTTGATCACGGAACAGGGGCCAAAGGATGGACAGGGGGACACGAGGCAACTCATCTGATTGCAGATACCCTCTTTGTGGCAATAACCGCCTCGACCACCTCACCCGCGCGAGCAATTTCTTCCTCCGACATCCTTCCCTGCTCTACCCCTTTTATCTAGGCACGCGCGGCCCTGTCAGCGAGAGCAGACTGGGCGACGATCTAGAAGGGATCCCCCCCCGAGACCTCCGACGCGCAAAAGCAAGCGGCCCGGCCTATGCAGAGGAATTGCTGGTTGGAGTCTCCGTCAGAGCCCGCGCTGCCGTCTCCGTACATCAGAAAGCCGTTGTTGTACACACAGGAAAACGTGAAGCCTCGGGCGGCAAGAAACGCACCCCCCTTCGGGGAGACGAAGACTCGGGTTCGTGGCACTCGGGTTGGCCTGACGAAGCCGTCAAGAGAACGACGAGACCCAGTCTAAAATGTGACGCGAGGTCCCGCTGCAAATATCCCACGAAAACTGGACCGTCAAAACCTAGGACGGGCTCGCCAAAGAGCGTCGGCACACCTGAGTTCTGGCAAACCCGAGTCTGACGTTTCCCCGACCCCTGCCAAATGCGCGGCTCACTGGCGCTGCCCGCTCACCTCAAGAGTCATCCGGTACCATAAGCCTCTCACGGCAGCGAGATGCGCCTGGCCTGGAACCTGCCCGTACACGTCGTTCATTTCTAATCGTGCTCGTTTCTAATTGTGCTCGTTTCTACTTGTTCCTAGCCCCCTAGTGGCCAAGAAGAGGCCCAGGACAGCACAATTAGAAATGAAAGGATCTGGGCCCCCCCAAACACCAAAGAACTCCCGAAGAATTAGACATGAACAACGTGTATCCTGCTCCCTTCGTAGTGGCCGATTCCGGAGATCCTGAACCCAAAATGTTGTTGTCTCTCGGGGGCGCACCCTGCACTTTCGAAGAATTATACATGAACAGTGTGTATCCTCCTCCCTTCGCAGTGGCCGATTCCGGAGATCCTGAATCCAAAATGTTGTCGTCTCTTGGGGGCGCACCCTGCACATTCGAAGAATTAGACATGAACAATGTGTATCCTCCTCCCTTCGCAGTGGCCGATTCCGGAGATCCTGAATGCAAAATGTTGTCGTCTCTCGGGGGCGCACCCTGCACTTTCGAAGAATTAGACATGAACAATGTGTATCCTCCTCCCTTCGCAGTGGCCGATTCCGGAGACCCTGAACACAAAATGTTGTCGTCTCTCGGGGGCGCATCCTGCACTTTCGAAGAATTAGAAATGAACAATGTGTATCCTCCTCCCTTCTTTGGATGCCCGAAATGGGTACGGAAAAAATGGGTACAATGCCCAACAACAGATGTTGTCCCAAACCAACAGAGGCCTCTGTTGGGCAGGCGGCCTTCTGTCTCAAATGTGCACAGTCCGCGGCGACACCGACAGCGAGTCCTGTTCAAAATGCGCAGGAACTGCTGTTGGGCGTTGTACCCATTCTTTCCGTACCCATTTCGTTCGTGCCGACCTTCGCAGTGGCCGATTCCGGAGATCCCGAACCCAAAATGTTGTCGTCTCTCGGGGGCGCATCCTGCACTTTCGAAGAATTAGACATGAAGAGTGTGTTCGGGTGTTGCTAGAAGTGCCCCTGGCCCAAGGTGCCCCCAGCTTTTCGCACTATCTTGGAGCCCCTGGGCCCCCCTGGGCCTCGTGAGGGGTGCCCTGGAGGCCGTCTGGGCCACCCCGAGAATCCTGGGGGTACCTTGGGCCAGGGGTACTTCTAGCAACACCCGATGCGTATCCTCCTCCCTTCGTGGTGGCCGATTCCGGAGATCCCGAACCCAAAATGCTGTCGTCTCTCGGGGGCGCACCCTGCATTTCCGCCGCCTGCCGCCAGCCTTCCGCCGGCGACGCCGCCCCTCGCTGTGCTCCCGCCAGCTCCCCGCCGCCCTCCGCCAAGGACGAGACGGCAACCCCGTCGACCCTCGAAGGCAAGGACCTTTTTGGAGTCCCAGGGGGCCACATGCGAACCCTACCCCACCCCCCCACCCCTCAGAAGTCGTAGGGGGTAGGGGTAGGGCTCGCATGTGGCCCCCTAAGCCCCTCATATGGAGCCCAAAGAGGAGGGAATTGCGAGCACAGCCACGTACCGTACATGAACATGCCTCCAGTTCGCGAGGCCGCCATCATGTCACGAACGATCGCGCAGCGCTCTGTCTCGAAGCCCGTGTGGATTCAGGAGTGCGCACGTCCCTGTCTCGTGTTCTGATTACGTCTCATGTGAATTAATGTGCGCGTACGTCTATGTCTCGCTCCTGGTTCTGCTCAGCCCTTGGAAGCAGGAGGGAGGAACAACTGCCATCTCGGTGTGGAGAGTTTCTTTACTATCCGCAAAACCTACGCACAACTGGCTCCGCGACGTGAGACTGAAGTCCGCTGGGCAAGCCGAAAACGCCACACGATGCGTCGCCGAGAGCGAACATCACCATAATAGGGAGAAACAGGAGGGGAAGACGGCGGACGGCAAGCAGGAGCATAATGAAAACACAAGCAACATAAACACAACCTTTCGGAGCTCCGCGCGGATTTGTTGGATCTGCGCGGAGCGCGCCAGAAGCGGCGCCGGACACGGCAGCGAGGCGAGTGGCGAAAGAGCGGGGGCGAGGAAGCGGGACCAGCGGAGAGAGGAGAGGGAAGCGGGCACGCGAGGACGAGGGCGAGGAAGAGGTCCGACACCCTGATTTTTTCCGCATGGGATCCCCTGTCGGGGATCTTCTGACCCGGGTCAATCCAGACACGGGTCAGCAGGAAACCAAACAACTGAAATGCAGGGACAAAAAAACTGCAACGCAGGTCTTCGCAAACCCGGGTCAACCAATATGCGCGGCCGCCGCGCGGCCACGAGCGGCTCGCTAACCCGGGTCAGCCAGAGAGGGTCTTCGCAGGATCCTGCAGGATCCGGTGCCCTGGCTGACCCCCGTTTGCACTGACCCCCGTCTCTTGGGCCCCGACCCTGAGGCCTCGGCCCACTCCCCGGGGACTGCTTCCTCCCCGAGGCGTTTCTGGACGCTCCCCGGGGCCCAGCGAGGGCCTCGAGGCGCCGAAGCTGGCAAGGAGAGCCTCCGGGGAGCGCAGGCCGGCGGCGCGCAAGAGGAGGGGTAGGAGGAGGAGGGCAGGCTTCTTCGGCCTGCGGAGGGGCAGGAGGAGGAGGAGGGGCAGGAGGGGCAGGAGGAGGGGCAGGAGGAGCAGGAGGAGGAGGAGGAGGAGGAGGAGGAGGAGGAGGAGGAGGAGGAGGAGGGGCAGGAGGAGGAGGAGGAGGGGCAGCAGGAGGAGGGCAGGCTTCTTCGGAGGAGGCTGCTCCTGAGAGGGCGCTGGCCCCGCGCCTCCGAGACACGAGGCCCGCGCCTCCTCTGAGGAGTCTGCCTGCCCCCCCCCCCCCTCCTCTGAGGGGCAGCGATAGAGGGGGACTTGCATAGGGGGGGGTGCATCGACCTGGAATCGGCGATACATCGCCGATAGATCGGCGATAGGCCCCAGATCGTGAATCCGCACCTTCCTGGGCAGGTTGGGGCTATTGGGCCCCCATCGGCGATCAATGGGCGATTGTGGGTCGATGCATCCCCCCCTATGCCTGTACCCCCCTATCGTTGCCCCTGACCCTCCCTGCCCCCCCCTGCGCGTGGCTGAGACGCCTTGGAACGAGAAGGGAGTGGCGTCGGAGAGGCCCACTTCCGCGGCGGCGGCCCCGAAGCACTCCTGCCGGGGCTCCCCCGCGCGCGCGCGCCGGCCGCCACGGGCCCGGCGTGCCCGAGACCTGCCTGCCACGGGCGCGGGGCACCCGCCCTGCGCTTCCCCGGAGAGCCAGGCGCCGCGGCCGTTCGCGCCGCCCACCCGGGGACCTGCTCGAGGTTCGAGGACTCCGAAGTTTTCGAGGTTGTCGAGGTTCGAGGTCTTCGAGCGCTTTCGGAGGCCCTCGGCGGCTTTCTAGCCTCGGGACGCGTTCCAGCAGGTGCGCCTCGCCGAGGGCAGTCTGAGGGTGCCAGGATTGTCCCGAACGGCCGCCTGAGGCCCGAGCCTTGGCCCGAAAACCGAAGCCCGAGTCAGGGGCAACGTCAGGGCGACGTAACCCTGGCTTCGGATCCGTCGTACTTTCGGCGGCCTTGTAAATAGGGCCTACGAACCGCTCGTAAGCTGGCTTACGAACCGCTCGTAGAGCGCGGCCCGCAAGCCTTGGAAGCGCACCGCCACAGCAACCTCGATGGCGGCCTGGGCAAGCGCCTGCATAAAGCGCCCGCTAGGGGGTGCCGCGCGATGATTCAGGGCCGCACCGGCTGCAGCCAATCCATACATACATGCATGCGTGCATGCATACATACACTCATACATACATGCGTAGCCACACTCATACGTGCATGCACGTATACATACATGCATACATGCATACGAACCTACATACATACATACATACATACATACATACATACATACGTACATACATACATACATACATACATAGATGCATGCATGCAAACATACATAAACACATACATGCATGAATGCATGTATGCATACATTCACATGCATACACACATACATACATACATGCATGCAAATATACATACATACATACATACATACATACATGCATACATACATACATACATACATACACACATACATACATACATGCATACATACAAACATACATACATTAATACATACATACATTCATTAACCAGCCTACCTACACACACCTACATATGTGAATGCATGTATGCATGCATACACACAGACACACACGTATACAATCATACATACACATCGGTATATGCACACATACATGCATACATATATTCATACCTACATACAAACATACATACATGCATGCATACATTCATACAAACATAATCACATATGTACATGCATGCATGCAACCATGCATACACAATGACATGCATGCGCACATGCATACATACATGCGTGTACGCATGCACTCCTGCATACCTACATACAGACAAGCGTACTTAGGTTCATACGTACACGCTTGCGTGTACACGCAAACATACATAGCTTCACATACATGCGTACGAATGTGCATACACACATTCATACATTATAAAACCATGCATACGTACGTAACACACATATATACGAATACATACACACAACCACATACACGCATACACCCACGTATCCATATGTACATACACACATACACACATGCACATATACACACGCATGCATGCAACCATACAACATACACACATACATGGATGCATACAAACATACATACACACATACATGTATACATACGTACATGCGTACGTGCACTATAATGTAAACGGTTGTGTGTACATCTGTTTTTATAATATGTACAAATTCCCGGCAGCTTAGAGGACTGTGCCACGCTGTCTGAACTCGCGTTTTATGAAAGACCGTACCGGCAGCCCAATAAAATTAGCCGGACGAGGGACCCAACCATATGCAGGTGCGAATACCGCAATAGTAGTTCACTTTTTCGGTGACGGTCCCTATGAGGCAACGAACCGTGCTAGGGGTGTGCCGAAATGAATTGCGTGGTACACAACGCGAACGGAAACGATTGATCTGAGTACGTGGGGAGACTGAGCGCGGGCGAATCTGAGCGCGAGTGCGTCTGACTGTGAATGAATCTGCGTGCGAGCGACTCTACGTGCATGAATGCGAGTATGACAAAGCATGGTGCAATTCTACATGAATGTCAATAGTTTGAGAATGACTGCCTCTGAGTACTCGTGACGCTGGGCGTGGCCGCCGCAAGGAGCTTCCCCAGGACTCCCCGACGGCATCGCCCGCGCGCGGCGACGCCAATGTCGGCGCCCCCCCCCGCGAGGATCGCGCCCGCTTCCTCCCCTTCATTTACTCCCTCTTTGCCCGCGCACTCAAAAGTCCAAGGCTGCGGGCGCAGCGCGGCGCGGAGCCCCCGCGACGCGCGCAGGTCGCCCCGGAGGGGTCTCAGCGACGCGCGCAGGTCGTCCGCCGCGCGGAGCAAAGGGAGCTAGCTGGCTGGCTGATAGCGGGCAAGGCTCTTGCCGCTAGGCAGAGCGACGACGGGCGAGCGAGGCGCTGGGCAGAACGCAGCACGGAGTCCCCGCGACGCGCGCTGGTCGCCCCGGACGGGTCCCAGCGACGCGCGCGGGTCGTCCGCTGCGCGGAGCAAGAGAGCTAGCTGGCTGGCTGGGACCTTCGGTGGGGCTCCATGTGGGGCCACAAAGCGCTGTACTGGGTGAGGGAGACGCATGCGGACTGTGCCACTGGGACCTTCGGTGGAGTTCCGTACAGGGCCACGAAACGTGTGAGGGGTGTGCCGAAATGAAAAGCGGGGACGCATGCCGACTGTGCCACTGGGACCTTCGGCGGAGCTCCTATGGGGCCACGAAACGTGTGAGTGGTGTGCCGAAATTAATGGCGGGGACGCGTGCGGACTGTGCCACGGGGACCTTCGGCGGGGCTCCTATGGGGCCACAGAGCGTATGAAGGGTGTGCCGAAATGAATGGCGGGGGCGCATGCGGACTGCGCCACGGGGACCTTCGGTGGAGCTCCCTATGGGGCCACGAAACGTGAGAGGGGTGTGCCAAAATAAATGGCGGGGACGCATGCGGACTGTGCCACTGGGACCGTCGGCGGAGCTCCTATGGGGCCACGAAGCGTGTGAGGGGTGTGCCGAAATGAATGGCGGGGACGCGTGCCGACTGTGCCACGGGGACCCTCGGCGGAGCTCCTATGGGGCCACGAAGCGTGTGGGGGGTGTGCCGAAATGGATGGCGGGGGCGCGTGCGGGCTGTGCCGCTGGGGCCTTCGGCGGAACTCCTGTGGGGCCGCGAAGCGTGTGGGGGGTGTGCCGGGGTGAATGGCGGGGGCGCGTGCGGGCTGTGCCGCTGGGGCCCTCGGCGGGGCTCCTATGGGGCCCCGGGGCGTGTGGGGGGTGTGCCGGGGTGAATGGCGGGGGCGCATGCCGGCTGTGCCGCTGGGGCCGACGGCGGAGCTCCCTATGGGGCCACGAGGCGCGTGAGGGGTGTGCCGAAATGAATGGCGGGGACGCGTGCCGACTGTGCCACGGGGACCCTCGGCGGAGCTCCCTATGGGGCCACGAAGCGCGAGAGGGGTGTGCCGAAATAAATGGCGGGGACGCATGCGGACTGTGCCACTGGGACCTTCGGCGGAGCCCCTATGGGGCCACGAAACGTGTAAGGGGTGGGCCGACATGAGTGGCGGGGACGCATGCCGACTGTGCCACTGGGACCTTCGGCGGAGCTCCTATGGGGCCACGAAACGTGCGGGTGGGAGGGGTGGGGCCACGAAATGCCGAAATGGTGTGCGGGACGCATGCGGGCACACCCACTGGGACGGTGGAGCTCCCTATGGGGCTGTGTGACCTTCTGGGACCTGGAGCTCCCTATGGGGCCACGAAGCGTGTGGGGGGTGTGCCGAAATGGGTGTGCGGGGCGCGTGCGGGCGCGCCCGCTGGGGCCTTCGGTGGGGCTCCCTATGGGGCCACGAAGCGTGTGAAGGGTGTGCCGAAATGGGTGGGCGGAACGCATGCGGGCACACCCACTGGGACCTTCGGTGGAGCTCCCTATGGGGCCACGAAGCGTGTGAAGGTGTGCCGAAATGGGTGTGCGGGACGCATGCGGGCACACCCACTGGGACCTCCGGCGGAGCTCCCTATGGGGCGAAACGTGTGAAGGGTGTGCCGAAATGGGTGTGCGGGACGCATGCGGGCACACCCACTGGGACCTTCGGGGAGCTCCCTATGGGGCCACGAAACGTGTGAGGGGTGTGCCGAAATGGGTGTGCGGGACGCATGCGGGCACACCCACTGGGACCTTCGGTGGAGCTCCCTATGGGGCCACGAGATGTGTGAAGGGTGTGCCGACATGAGTGTGCGGGACGCATGCAGGCACACCCACTGGGACCTTCGGTGGAGCTCCCTATGGGGCCACGAAGCGTGTGAGGGGTGTGCCGAAATGGGTGATGACGACGATGATGATGACGATGATGATGGTGGGAGGAGGGAGGAGGGAGGAGGGGGAGGAGGAGAGGAGAAGATGAGGGGAGAACGCGGGGCGACGTCTCTTCAAAACGAGGACCCAACACCACAAGGTGGTTGGGAAAAAAGAAACCGTACCTTACTCTCAGCTCTATACTATACGCAAACGCCTCGCTGCCACGCCCCAGAGCGTGCTCCCACGCACGGGCAAAAACAGCTCAACCCCCGACGGAGTAAGAACGGTGCTCGCGCGGTTACCCCCACGTTCAAGGCGCGGCTCAAACATTGAAAATATCTAGAGAACGCTGACCTCCCCTGCCGTCCTCACTCTTCAAGCTCGAGGCGCTAGCGGGGCGCCTCACGCTCCGTTACACGATGAGAAAGGTTGCCATAAACAATCCAAGGGCAAAACTGTCGTCGAGCTTCGAGTCTCCGTGGATACCCCACGGGCCTCGGCGAGCCCCCGCGGCCACCGACAGACAAGAAACCTCCGTGGCGCACCCATTGGCAGCCCGACCTCTTCTCTCGTGCACATAACCGACGTCGGGTATGCAGCAGCGGCCGCGGGGGGATAGAAAAGGGCAAGGCAAGAGAGGAGCTGGAGAACAACAAACTTGGCCCTCAGAAGGCTCCCCGACACCGTCGAAGACGGCATGACATCTGCTGGACAACTCCCCGCCGCGGGTGCCCCCCTCCTCCACCTCCTCCTCCTCCTCCTCCTCCTCCTCCTCCTCCCCCTCCTCCCCCTCCCCCCCCCCCTCCTCCTCCCCCCTCCTCCTCCTCCTCCTCCTCCTCCTCCTCTCCTCCTCCTCCTATTCCCCCCCCTCCTTCTCCTCCTCCTCCTCCCCCTCCTCCTCCCCCCCCCCTCTCGGTCCGACGAGGTGGTGATGTCCGCCAGCCCGGCAGTCGCGCAGCTGAGCCCCGCGGTCTGCCCCGGGGGGCCCGCCCTCCGTCGCGTCGGCCCGCCGCCGTGGTGGCCACGCCGTCGTCGCCGGCGTCGCCGCCGCCGTCGTCTCGTCGACAGCGACTGAGGGGCAACGGTACAGTCAGACTCGATTGGACAGGACACGCGAGAGGACACAAGACCCTTCTGAGGGCCACATTGCCACAGGAACGTAGAAAGCATGGGTCGCGAGACACAGGACACAAGGGCGCCCTTGAATTTGGCAGGGTCGACCTACTAATCTGGGCCGACTGTAAGGGGGGACTGGCACAGGGGGTGAAAAATCGACCTGGACTCGGCGGTACGTCGCCGATAGATCGGCGACTGGCCCCCGATGGTGAGTCCGCAAGCTCCTGGGCAGGCTGGGGCTATCGGGCCCCCATGGACGATCAATGGGCGATTGGGGGTCGATGCATCCCCCCCTTACTGCCTATTCCCCCACATCGTTACCCCTGAGCGACTGGTCTGACGGATCTGACACTAGAGTAGGGGCCTCCCAACTGGAGTCCAAACAGATGGGGTCGAAGGATCGCGCCTCGACGATGCATCGGCGATGCGTTGTCAACGCCGGCGACGCAGCGGCAACGTCGGCGCGGAGAAAATTGAGCTCCACATCGAGCCGCATCGCCAATTCAGCGGTGATGCGGCCCGATCTTCCGACCCCATTTGATTCGATCGGATTTGGACGGCCTGGTGACACTCTCTTACTGCAAAAGGTGCGGCATCGTATCAGCCACGAGGCGCCGGGTCAAAGACTTAACAAGGGCCCCAAACTTCGCGCTTCGCGCTGCACGAAGCGCGAAGTGCGAACAACTTCGCACTCCCGCGCCGCCTCCCAGGGGAGAAGAGGAGGATGCGGAGGAATCCGAGCCGAATCGCGAAGCGCAAAGCGCGAATAACTTCGCGCCCTCGAGGGCGCTCTTGCTTAAGGGCTCGGGAGATCGGGACTGCAGCGGTGCCTGGACCCCCGGTGACCCAGATCTGTGCAGGGGGCAAGCAAGAACAGTCAACAACGAATCGGGACATCGGATCGACTCGGAACGCGTACCGAGTTGGAGCTTGTCGGCTCGGAGCCATATCGGGAGCGGCAAAGAGGGGGGCGCCAAAGAGGGGGCGGGTGCAAATCATGACCGGCGGCATGTGCGCGGCCCAGCGGGGGGGCCAGGGACGTAATGAAATAAGAAGAGGCGCCATGAAACCTGGGGAAATATCATGGCCCGCGCCATGATATCCACCCCCCCTAGTCATCACGCCCCTCTTTTCCGCCCCCGACCATAACCGAATCGAGCCGGCGGCGTCCAAATGTACAACAGCGCCGGGCAAGCATCAGGCCGCATCGAGTCGCCGGAATACCGGAATCGAATCAAGTCCGGTCGGCCAGAATTCGTGTCGAAGCGGATGGGTCGGATCGGGATGGGCCCTGAGCCGGGGCCCGGGGGTTCTGGTGTGGCGAGAATGGTGGCATGATGCGATTGGCTCAGGATGCGTTCCAGGAGCTCTGGAATACCTGGCTTCCCTCGCTTCTGCAGCCCGTGTGGAACATGGGGCAGTCTTGGGAACGCAGGTAATCTTGGAACTCCTGGAACGCATCGCTGCGATGGCGTTTTGCTCCTATGTTCCGCAGCCCAGCGCGTTGGGAGAATCAAGACACGAGGGGCTGGCGAAGGAAAGCTTTGATAGCAGGGGGAGGCGAAACGATGCAGCAGTAGATCGGGGGGGAGGCGGTCGAGGGCGACGAGCGATCACACAGCACTGCGGAAGAAAGACGACGCCCTGGGCCTCCTCGATCCTAGATCCTCGATTCTCGCGGACGAGGAGGCCGAGGACGAGGAGAATTCGGGATAATACGGCGACGACACAATCGAGATGACTCGCAAGACGAACGAACGATGCGGCGCTAGCTCCCCAAACCACCGGCTTTTCACACGCGCGGCCGCTGCCCTGCTCGCGCAGCGCACGTGTTGCTCTGGGCCGGGGGGTACAATTACCGGTCCCTGTTATGCTGAGACCGCTGAACTTCCTCTCGGTCTGGTCACCATCGGACCTCGGCAACGAGTACAGCGGACTGTGAAGCTGTTGTCTAGAATGCTCCGATCGTTGATGCTCGACCTTCGCTTTCAACGGTTACCGCTTTCGTGCCCTCGCCCCCATTTGAATGTTGAACGCCTGCACCTCCTCGGGGTCCACTGGGATCTCATCGAGGATTTCCCACATAGGGCGCGGGTAACAAAACAAGTGCATCACTCTTCGTACTCGAAGAATCCACCAAAGATTTGCACACGCTCCAGTCCTGCATCGCGGCGGTGATGGCGCTACGGTTGCTGATTCGCTTGCTCCATCGCCCAATGCGCCTTATCCCAAGCTGCGGTTTCGTGCTGCGTACGGCAGCTGATGTTCTTAAGCCTTTGCGTCGCCCCCTCCAGCGACCACTATTTTTTGTTTTTTTTCTCCACGCGCGCCCTTCACGGAAGTGCATCGCAGCTGATCATGATGACATGCAGGGGCAAGGAAACAAGGGGACACTTGTCCCAAGAAACCTCTCTGGGTACCTGATTTCTGATGTCCTGACCGTCGTCGACATCGACGGTGGGTTCCGTCTTCGCCCACTCCAACGACGATCGCGCATTCTCGCGCGCGGGCACCGCAGGGCCGCCGACGGGGTTGGGTTCCTTTCTCGCCTAATCGGCCACTGCGCCATCTTTGGCACGCTCTGGTCGAAGGCTTTCCGTTGTAGCTGATGACGTTCGCCTCTTTTTCGCCTTCTCCTCAGGCCTCCGCACCTTCGCGCGAAACGTTCCCATGTTCTGTGCGGCAGCTGCGGTCCGCCAGCTGCGTTTTCGGTACTTCCAGCTGTATGTTGAGGTCCCCTGCCTCGCTTCTCTTCCAGCGGCCAGCAAGCTGCCTTCTCGCACGCGCCCCCTGCACGGCAGCTGATTATTTCCAACTGTGACCTCAGCTGCCACTGTGCTTCCTTTTCGCGCGCGCGAGTTGCAAACTCCGTCCTACTGATGCCGCAGTGGTTCCTGCTTCGCCTCCACAGCTACTCCACCTTTTCGCGCGCACGGTGCACGGCAACTGATGACATTGGGTTCATTCTCCGCCTCGGCCAGTAGCCACTACACATTCTCGCGCGCGTGGATTGTAGGATCTGCGCGGCAACTGATCACGTTGGGCTCTCCCTTCGCCCAGCCAATGGCCACTGCGCCGTCTCGTGCGCTGGGAACGCCAGCTCTACAAGGTAGCTGCTGACGTCGTGATCCTTCCTCGGGGTCTCCAGCGACCGCTGCTCTTCTCCAACTTCACCTCCCACCTTCTCATGCTTAGAGTTAGCTAGATGGGCAACATTGTTCGAGCCGCGGCCAGCTGTGACGACGACGCTGTGCGGGTGTTCAGTTTCGCCGCTTTCTTGATCGATGTCGTCCCGCTCTTCTTCACGGCTATATTCGGCGTCTGGTATCCAGCAATCCCATCCGCCCCGCGCAAGGGTGAGTCAGAAAAAGACGGCCTGCCCGAAAGCCACCAGCCGCTGCATCCTCATTGACTTGCATGTTGCTTTGGGCTGCACGGTGCGCTGTATGGGGTGCTACTGAAGGCCCCTCAAGGCGCACACCTCGCCCTCTTTTTGCACTCGCTAGACTGGCCGACCGAATCCAGAGGCCAATCCACGCTCGTGCCGCCCCTCGGCACGCGCACGCCAGGGAGGGCCCCGAGGGAGGAGGCGAGAGGCGCGCGGACCAGACTGTTAGCCTTCCGCCACTCCGCCCCCGCAGGCGGGAGAGGCTCAGCGCCCAAGGGCCTTGCTGCGAGGCGGGGGCTTATCCATATCCACCGCCTGGGAACCGACGTCCTGGTGCCCCAGCGGGCGGTGGATATGGATATAGTTCGGCCCCTGGGGACCCGAATATGTCCATATCCACCGCCTGCCGAGGCTCCGACAACTGACCGTCCAGGCGGTGGATATGGATAAATTCCCGCCTCGGACTTGCCCGTCTTCGGGTGCACACCTCCACGTATGCGAGCCCGTAGGCGCACATCTCGCCCGTCAGCAGGCAGCCGTGTATCGGCGCCGACCCTGCCGAGGTCGGTGGCTGATCCCCCCCCCTGCCGCCCTGGCCCGCGCGGGCCCGGGCGCGGGCCCGGGCCACAGAAGGGGGAGAACCGAGGGCGGGGAAGAGGACAAACACGTGGCGCCTCGAGAGCAACCGCGGGGGATGGGATGCCGACGGGCCCACGAGGAGGAGGAGGAGCGAGAGCAACCCGCGGCAGCGACGAATACGACGAGGACGAATGAGACGACGACGATTAGGACGCTTGATCTGAACAACAACGACAGCACGAGCGTTTGACGGGTCCAAGGGCGAGCAGGTGAGCTAGGACTTCCCCTCGGCGCTGAAGGAGAAGCCGCACGTACACTACGCCCAAGTCAATGCACAATCAACGCGATCAGTCGAACTATGTCAGCTCAATTCCTCGACGCAAATATCCCCATATGTGCATCTGTCTTGCCTGGTACGTATTTCTGCTGGTACCTGTCAATGAGCGTCTGCGTGTGACAGCGAGTCGCGACAGCCCCGTGGTGTGCAAGTCTGAGTGCGAGTGAGCTGCATGTCTGAGTGCCAGTGAGTTTGAGTGAGAGCAAGTTTGAATGCGAATGAGCCTGAGTTTGAGTGGGCCTGAGTGTGAGTAAGTCTGAGTTTGGGTAAGCCTGAGTGTGAGTGCGTCTGAGTGTGAGTGAGTCTGAGTGTGAGCAAGTCCGAGTGTGAGTGCGTCTGCGTGTGATCGAGTCGGGGAATGATGAGTCTGAGCATGAGTGATACTGAGTGTGAGTGACTCTGAGTGTGACTCTGAGTGTGGAGAGGTCTGCGAATGAATGGATCTGAGTATGAGTGAGCCTGAGCCTGAGCCTGAGCGTGAGTGAATCTGAATGCGTGAATGGGGAAGAGGAGGGGGATGAGGGGGAGGTGAACCGGAGGCGTCTAAGTAGA